GTTGTTTGATGATTCTAGCATGCCTTAGCTTTTTATCTCAGATCCTGCTTTTCTTTAGCCTGCAAACTGTGCTCTCAAAAACTAAGCTTAGTAATTTTCAACAGTTTGGAGGTAACTTTCGTCAGAGCTCCTGTTAACCCTATTCAAAATCTGGAATTTCTATTTCAAGAATTACCATCTTCCAAAACCCACAACATACACATTTCCAGCTTTTCAAAGATGAAAATCTACCATTTCAAAAATCCAAAGTTCAGACTGTGTCTCTTGTGTGGAATCTTGGAAAGTTTACCTTGCCATGTGAGGCCTGAAAAGTTGTGTCACATCATTTCAGAAATGAAATTTCTCAAGTGGTAGAAACACTTTCACTTGGATGAGAATCTTCATTTCATTAAGTGATATTATATCACTTTTTCTTCTCAATCAAAAGGAATACCTAAGACAAGGTTCAGAAAAAATTGCTACATAATTTTGCCTCAAAACAGAGGTCAATTACCTATGATAATGCCTTCTGGTACTTTGACACTGATATTCAAAGCCTATGTATTTTCTCATATGCAACAGTGTTGTGCCACTAAGATTACAGCAGCATTACATGAAAATCTTCATAACTGCCTGCATTTGATGATTCTACAGGATATTCATCATAACAGAGCGGTGAAGCTCAGCAATGATTACCTGAGTGCTGGAACAGAAGTCACAGATGGACAGGATGGCAGTCAGACTAATTTCGGTGAGATTTTCCCCCCATCTTTACAGTAGACCATAAACACAGCAGTCAGAAATACAGTAGTGCTTGGAAGCTTAGACGCCAAGGCAGGCAAACATTCTGTGCCTATTTAAGTTGATCTTTTAAGTCTCAAAATGTGTCTGAGCTGAGATTTAAGCAATGTACAGACTCTTAAAAACTCCTGGGAATGCTTCATCCCTGGAGAGCATTAATTGCAGCCACAGTTCACAGCAGTTGTTTTTATTATAGCACTAAAACTTTTGATGCTTCACATACTCTTTTACAATAGGAACCATAAATATTAATATTATCAATATTCCAGGGATTGCTAGCTGTGGCATATTTGGCAAAGATGAGAAATTCTGAAATACATTCATGCAGAGATGTTGTTTAACTGCAATCTCCCACTAGTGTCAGCATTTTGGGCATCTCATATTGGACTCAGGTTTTCATTAAATCAACCAGTTGTAAAGTCAGCATTACAATTCAGGAATTCCTGTAGCATCATTTGACACACTTAATTCACATGTAAGTTTCATCCACTTTGTGCTTCCAGTCTGAGGCTTGGCAAGAGGTAGCCACTGCACTGGGAGCTGTGCAAATCTTTTGTTAAAACCAGTATGAACTGCAACAAGTATTTCATCGTTTTCTCATGTGGAAAACTGATAAATACTGCTTTGATTGTGGATAAATTATTTCCAGATCTCTCCTCCAAGTTCTAGTTAGAATACTGACTTCGCTTTGAATTAACACTTGTTTTCCTTTTGGTAGGCAGAGATGATTATAATCTTTTCTATTCAAGAGGCAAAATAAAGAGAACCAAGTCAAGAACACTCACGGGACAGGGACTCTCTGTAAGTATCTTCTGCAAATACAGGAAAAAGATTTATAGAGCAGCACTAACATGAAGGAGGGCATCCAGGCACTAAAATAGGAAGGTTTTAACCCTGACTGGGGGCAGGGGATAAAAGTCCAACCTAATATAAAACCTGAACATTTGTAACTGACATTTAGTTCAGAACTGAAAAGAACTAATTTGTTTTTCTACTAAGAGTTTAATTAGATTTTTTTCTCTCGTTTTGAACCCATGCAATTTTGACACTGCATTAGGCCTAAGGACAGTTGCAGTGATTCTTTTACAGATTTTTTTTCAGAAGCAACATAATATGGAGATATTGTCATCTTCCCTTGACTTTTACAACACTTGACTCAATAGAGGCCTAGTTTAATTAAAGAAGCAAGGATTTACTTCCACTGGAGACCAAATTTCCTGAAAGAACAGTCAACTAAAGGATTGTCAGTAATGACATGGAAAATTTCAAATAGGAAATGTCCATTAATCTCAGCTTGGATCAGTCAGCCAATTCAACAGATGGGAGAAGATACAGAGGTCTGTGAGATGAGTCCAGAGATAAAAATGCTTGGTCAGGTGACTGAGCTTTCAAAATGAGAAAAGGTTGAAAGCTGGGAAGAAATAAAAGGAAAAGGCTTTAGGTTGTGTTGTTTGTTTGTTAAGATTTAGTAAACTAATTTCACTGAGGCAAAACATAGACATTTTAAAAACAAAACAGTTCTACAAGTTCTGGAAGCTTCAAACTTTACTCCTAAACATATACCCATGGTTAATTTTACTGTGCTGAGAAGATCTTTGTACAGCCCTGAAGAGTTGCATTGACATAAAGTGAATCATTTCCAGACACACTTGCTGAATGAAGACCTCAGCAGTGAGATATTAGCCAGGGTAACCCAACACTTGCTCAGGTTAAGAAAGACATTCCCAAAGAAGTCAGGGATTAGTAACAGTGAGACTCAGATACATCGAATTCATGCCACTGTGTGCATTTTGCACTTTCATTCCCAGGCAGAATCTGACTCACCTACTTGTATTTTCCCTATGTGAAATGTTCCTGGCTGTTGTGTGTCTCCACAGCCAGAGTCCAGACAGCTGCTAGATGAACTGGGTCAAACTGGGAAAGGAAGAATTACCTTCATAGAACAATTGCTCAGTGACGTAAGTTACACTTGCTGAAGTTCCCTTTTTCAACTCTTTGGCTGTTTACTGCATGAATATTAGCCTGGAATGCAACTTCAGCTTGATGATTAGGAGACAACAGCCTTGCAATACCAGCCTTCAGATGGAAAGAGCATTTTAGAGAACATAGGGCCTATTTTACATGTATAGATGTTCTCACATTTCTATTTGGTCAGTGCATAAGGCAGTCTTCTCTGGGCTTGTCAAAGCTAAACAAAAAAAAAATGTATTCGTTTTAGAATTTAGGATCAAGTCCTCTGTATAGCAAAAGCAAGCATACACTCTGTTTCTGCTATGGGATTTCATTTGGCTACTGTTACACACATTTACTCTGGCTTTGAGCTAGAAAATTACATTTTCAGAAGAAAGCAAAACAACACACTTTTAACCTCAGTCTTGAGCAATTTGCCAACTTGAATTGGCACAATACAAAAGCAAGGTGGAAGCTGAAGAGTCGGTATGGTTTTACCAGCCCCCTTTGCTTCTGCTCTGTTGCAGGGAGCTGACCCCAATTCCCTGAGCGAGGAGGAGCACCCTGCCCTCACAGTTGCTGTCCTGAACAAGCACACAGGAGCCATCTCCCCTCTGGTGCAGAAAGGGGCTGACATTGATCAGCAGTCAGGGCCGTAAGTGAGCTCTGATCCTCTGCCTTGGCTCTTTCCAAGTTTTACCGAAAAAAAAAATAAATTTAAAAAAAAAAAAAAAAAAAAAAAAAAAAAAATCACACGTTCTCCAGTTTTAGAGAGAACTAAACCCCACCTCTCCTCCACATATCTGCTCTTTTCAATGACAGTATTCACACTCCCTCTTCCAGTTGCCAGATTTCAAGATTTTTCATAACTTCTGCTATAAAAGCTGCTGTTCTATTTAGTTCCTTTCCCCATCCACTTCAACTTAATATGATAAACCCCACCAAAGCCTACCACACTTCTTGTGTGTTCTGTATCCTCCTACTCATTTTCCTAAGTTTTATTTGCTAAGTTTCCTAATGTAATAAGTGCATTGTTCATTCCTCCTGTGCAGACACAAGAACACAGCTCTCCATGAGGCAGTTCTGCTGGGACTGGAGGGAGAGGAGTGCATCCGAGCCCTCTTATGGTAGGTACTGTGGCTGGGCCTCCAGCTCAGGCTCAGGCTCCCTCCAGCACAGACCTGCTTGGCACCACTGGAGAGCCAGATCTTGCCTTGTGTCCCTGCAGAAAGGAGCATCCAGAAATTCCAAAGCTACTCCACATCAACATTCACCTACAAACCATTTCATCACTAAGTGCAGTCACTTGCAATGAACTTAAGCAGTTTAAACCAATGTGTTCTGTATTTACAGCTGCAATGCAAGTGTGCAAAAGAAGAATGCAGCAGGGCACTCAGCACTGGATTTGGCTGTTGCAGCTGGAGATAATAAGGTCATTTCACTGTTCCAAGTAAGTCTGGATAGAGAACATTGAACACACTCAGACACAGGAACATTATTCTCATCAGTGTGTTATTGCAACAAACTTTTTCCCAAATAAAGCTGAAGGCTCTTTGACTTTGGGAGCACCTGATCATGTGTCCAATTCTGTCTGCAGAATCCATGACCCTGTGTTTTTGGCTTGGGCCTCATAACAGTCAAATATTTTCTCCAAGACTGCCCCATTCCTTTCTGGCAGTTCAGAGCACAATTCTAACTGCACTCTATTCCGCAAATTTTCTTTTCCTTTCCAAACAAAGGGACAAACCAAACCTTCCCAGGCACAAATAAATTTCAATGTCTCTGAAATGTCTATAATGCCTCAAGAACACTGCTTATAAGAGTTTGACACTTGAGCAACAACACTGCAAGCTGTAACTGATGAGCTTATTTTCCTTTTTGATGTTAAAACTGCATTCAGGACAGCCCACTGCAGTAAAGGTCAGATTCTTATCCTCCAGAAAACTGAGGAAAACTACTTTTTTGTTCTGCCTTCAACTTTTATTTATACATGAATCAACATGAGGAAGCAGCCAACTACAAACAGAAGTTTACAAGAATACCAGGCACACTAAGGTGTGGTATAACTCAACGTTATTAGCCACGATCCTAAATGCCTTAAGTATTTTTAAAAGTCCTTCCCCTTTCTATGTCCCAAAGTATCTAAAAGCATTGGTATATTCAGTACAAAAATGGAAATGCATGTCAACTCCTATCAGAAATACAAGTTTTAGCACCAGAGTTACCAGTATCTCTAGGAGACAGCAATATCTCTGAACAGCTGGATTTACAAAAGAAAAAAAGTAAACCCACAAGTAATAATCCTTAAAAAGCAGCAGGAAAATTAGGAGAATCCATGCAGAAAAATATTATGTATGCAATGCATCAAACCCCAGGTACCTCCCAGACAGACTCGGAGGAGTGAAGCAGAATTCCCTCTGCTTCTCAGGGACAGCCAGTCTGGAAGCAGCCTCGGGAAACACAGCCATTCAGTCACAGGGGCAGTGCCACAACATGCGGACAAGACAGACATCACTGGCAACTATGAAGCTGCAGCAGTCTAGGCCAGATTCTTTATACTACAGCGCTGGATCTTGGCTTTATCTTCAACCTTGGTCATCTTCTGAGATACCTCTTTTTTCTGCAGAATAAAAATAATATGTTACTGTCTGCTACCACTAAGGGGAGTATCGCTCAGCTTCGAGGAGAAAGCAGGATACATCCCGCCTAAAGCATGGCTGAGAAGCAGGAAAGGGCACACCCGGCTGATCCAGCCCGAGCCTGGATGCAAAGCACTCTGCACAAAGCCTTGTGGTAAGGAACGAGGCCAGCTTAACAATCAGTCCAAAGACAAGATGCCGTGTACGTACAAGTGCCTTTCTCATTCGCATTTTGTCCAGCTTCAGGAACTCCTGCACCGTCAGGTTAGCAGGTTCTTTCTGAAGAGAAAGAAAACCACAGTCCGCGGAGTGCTTTTTGTGTTCCTCCCTGAAAAGAGGCGAAAAGAAAGAGAAAGTAGAAAAGAAAGCAGCAGCTCCCAACGAGCCATACGCAGCCGCTCTCCCCTGCCGAGCCCCTCGGTTGCCCCAGCGGTTCCGCCAGGCCGGGGCGGCGTCGGTCGGGACGAGGGATTCCCCAAGTACTCACAGGGGGTCGTCGTCGGGCTCCCAGCCCTCCAGCTCCTTGAGGCAGAAGAAGCACTGCGCCACGTCGGGGCTGTTCTCGCTGGGGCAATGCACGAAGCCCGCCGCCGCCATCTGTGGGCACAGGGGAGGCTGTCAGCGCCCGCTCCCAGCCCCGCTCCCGCTCCTGCCTCCCCAGCCCCGCGCTCACCCGTTCGGGCGTGCAGGCGCAGCCCTCGGTGAAGGGCCAGTTGCGGAAGGTGGCAGCGCGGACGGAGGCGAAGTAGAGCCGCCACACCTCGGGCAGCGCCGCCAGCCCCTCCATGGCCCCGTTCAAACGGCGGCGCGCGCGGGGCAGGGCGGGAGTGGGGCGGGCCCGCCGCCCTCACGGTGCCCGCGCAGCGCCCGGGGAGCCCGAGCCACCACCCACAACCACGCCTTTTTCTCGGTCGCAACGAATCAAAGCTCAGGGAAACACTCGGGCTTTGCTGCCGTATTTGGAAAGGGTGAGCTTCTACCTTTATTGTCCAGGAAAGCTTTGCTTTGTTAAGCTATGTTTGGCTCCTCCTCTCAGTGCTGCAGTCTCTGCCCAGCTTAGGGAAGCATGGAGGAGCCGTGCCGTGGAGCAGGGGGGCATTGGCTCATCAAGCATGGCTCGGGAGACCCAGCACCCGGGCTCCCCAGGCACAAGGAGGGAAGCGGAGCGCTGAGAGCACCGTTTGTCTGCTTGCTTCACTACATGCATTAGAAGAATCGCACACCTTGCACAGCCGTGGCTCCCGCCCCAAGGATCACTTCACCGTCTTTGAACACCTGGGGTTAAATGAAGGAACAAGCTCTCTGCAGCACAGCAGGTGTCACAGGGCAGCCACACAGCAAGATGGTCTTTAAAATCTTCATGGTCACCTTTAAGAACACAATGCAGAACTGGTAATCTTCTTCAGACTACATTTTTATATCTCCTAATTCTGTCTGGACAGAAGGAGCCTGCTAAGGCCTTGCATGCTTGTGTCTTCTATGGGGATGCCTGTAGGGAAATGAGGAATTTCTTGCCTTGGTCAACTGCCCACACACATCCTCTTCGGGCCATACTGGAGCTTGCTGGATTCCAATGAGATAAGATGATGGAGAGACACCTTAACAAATTGTATGACTGCAGGCTTTTCCAAGGGAAGGGCTTTAATTCCATTCATAAACACATATATTTCTTTTCTTTTGTCAGGAAAATGAATCCACAAACACCAGAGGTTTTATGTCCAAAAAGGAGACAAAAGGAGTCCTTTTTGCTTTATTCGAATAAAGGGAGAGGCCATGGGACAGTCCCCTGGGATCTCTCAAATTTTTGGAGGACGCAGCCTCCTTTTTATCCTATTTTCCCGGCCGCATTTCCCTCTCTCTTTCCCCATTGGCTGAGGTACTTGAGAGGCACAGACTTCCCGGAACGCCTGATACCTGAAATTCCCCTCTAATGTATAACTCTCTCTTTTAATTTTTAATTCTTATAGAATTCATCGTTTTTCCCCATTGCTTCTTTCATCTTTCGATATCCAGTTTCATTTATCAGCAGCCCTACAGTTCGTTTGTAAAGGGAAATATCTTTTCTAGTCATCAATCCGTGGAATCCATCCCATTGTTTCTTTTATCTCTCAGTGCTAATCTTATCTACAAGCAGATCCACAGCTCATTTGTAAAGACAAATTCAACATTCCTCTCACTTTCCAAGTCCAGCTAACTCATAACATTAAGAACATTGAAAATTCTCATAGTCATGAAGCAGGCAGAAATGTGCACAGACATTCGGGCACGCAAACCTTGGCTGGGCTGCCTTCCCCTCCCACTACCACTGGTTTTGTGTTGGTAGTGATGGACATTGGCTACACAAAAACACATTCTCTGTCCCTTTCTCTTCTGTTACCAAAATGAAGACTCCAGTATGGCAACTACTGCTGGAGTCAGGTAGCCAGCAGGTACACACAGTAGATTAAGGACAAAAAAAATGTCACATTTGGTGTGTAGCTCTCCATGGGCTTGATATGAAAGGACCATCCCAGTGGATGTGATCTGTAGTTAAAATGCATAGTCTGACTTTGGGTCAGTGCAGCTTTCTGTTCATCTGCACTGAGTCGGGGAGGGAGAAGAGCTGCTACACTGTGGAAAAGGAGAAGAGCCACTACCAGAAAAACTGTTGTTGTATTTTTTAATTCTTGAGTATTTCTATTTATTCTTTGCTCTCCTCTTTACTGATACTTAGAGCCTAGGTGCTTCCAAGAACTGGATCTGGGCCACCTCTGCCCTCTCCTCCCTCCAAGCTGTGAGCAGACTGCTTCTACAAATCAGAGCCTGCATTTCAAACATCCCCACTGACTTTTGCTCTGGGTTTCCTCCAGCCAGAGCGCCTGTAGCAGGAGGAGGTGGGTGCTGGAGCCTGTGAGGCTGCTCTGTGGTTAGAGGTGTGCCCTAAGGGCTGGTCTGCAGACCAAGAACAGGCAGAGGTGGAGAGATTCCAAAGAGCTGATTTGGCAGCTGTGGTGCCTTACCTTGCCTAGACACAAACCCACCTGACACCGTTCCTGAACACAGAACACTGCGTGCTATGAGAACTTCACACTGAGCACGGGGCAAGGAGGGGAAGGGAAGACAGCAGGGAAAGAGCAAAACAAAGGTGTCTCCTCTGAGCCTTGTACTTGGGGTAACAGGAATCTGCGTGCTATTCAGTATTCCTGAAACATGGTTCCAGGACTACTCATCTGGCACGTGTAGAACTTTCCTAAAGTTAACATCCAGCTACAGGCACAAATACCTTATTTCCCTTCACAGACTCAACACAGTTCCTAACAAAGCAATCAAACCACAGAAACACTGGAATAATTTAAGTTTAGGTGTTCATTTTTACTCATAAACAAAAACAGAGACCAAAAACCTGCAACATTTTTGGATAGGTTTCAAAACTTGAAATCCATGGGGCCCCTCTGAAGTGAGAAACAGTTTTTTGTTTGATATTTTTGTTTGTTTGCTAATGAGGTTCTCCAAAGTAAGAGTGGCATGAAAATTCCCCATAAGGAATTGCAATTTTCCAGTAGTTTCTGCGTATCCTAGTTGGCATTTCCAGGCCTCTCCCCTTGGAGCACAGGAATCAATCCTCGTGGATTGCATTTTCCACATACAACATCTCACTGTTGACATCCAAAGTCCTAGGGGTAAACACACCAGCATGTTCCAGCTTTCCTGTGGCAGCCAACGTCCTCCATCTAGGGGAGTTGGGAAAGCTGGGGGAGTTTTTTGGATGGATTGGACTTTTCCCAGACCCCTCCAGCAGCTCAGCGCCGCAGCCTGAGGAAGAAGGCGTGCTTGCACTCCTTGCTGTCCAAGGGGTAATACTTGTCATAAAAATCCAAAATGTACTCCTCGGTCTTAAATCCAAACTTCTGGTAGAGCAGCATAGCAGGGTTGCTTGCAGAGACGTGAAGGGTGACGTCCTTGCCCATGCAGGTCTGCAGAGGGAGGGGGAGAGGAAAAAAAAGGAGATATCACTGCAAGAGAACGAGACAGCCTCTGGGGGAATGCGGAGGTGAGGAGATTCATCAGCTCAGGGATCCAAAGTATTGAGGAAATGTGAGAAAAGTCACAAGCCCTGGCCCAGGAGTTACCACACATAGCAACAGCAAAGGCAGTGCTGCTGCTACTCCTCCAAGCCTTTGTTTCTGGGAAACGTGGATTCTCTGACAATGAAAGCAGGTTTCAGGATTATAATTTGTCATCTTTCCATTGTCAATTACTAAAGTAATTGTTAATTAAAAATAATCTTAGTGTACAGCCCTGATCTCAAATACAATGGCCTGAAGAAAAGACAAAACGTGCCAGAGGATCAGGCTCTGCACTCCTCCCTGTCAGCAAACAGAACTGAGCTATCTGGGACTGCCTGGGCACCTCTGTGCTGTCACACTGGAATTCCTGCCTATCCCACCCAGCTCCTCTCCCACCCTTCAGGGCACAGCACTCACCTCCTGAGAAGGCAGCAAATTCAGTTCAGACAGCAAATAATAACATAGCTGAAGTTACCTTGAAGATCCTAAATTATTCTAACCAGCAACACTCTGATTAAGACGCTTTCATCAAGCGTTTTAATAGCATTCCATGTATATTGAGTGTATTGTAACTCTTAAGTGGGAACAGTAATACCCTCTAGGAAATCTCCAAGATAGAACATTCAAGGGGAAAACTCTCAAGAATTTAAGGAGGGAAGGAAAAAATAAATAATTGGAAGCTGGTTTGGGGAAAAGAAAATTTGAATGAGATCATTAAGAAAATGCAGTTTAGTCCTCTGGGACAGATGTATGAGAGATATATTTTGACAGCAAAACCAGTCACCGCCATTTACATCAAAACATTTTCCTGTTAAATTATGCTTTTCCTGAGAATTTAGCCCCATATTTAGCACACTGATCCCAAAAGTCAAAAACCTACTCTTAATCCAAACAGCATCAGTGTCTCAAGCTACAAAGAGGAGACCCCAAGCCCAAGCAGCTGCAAAGCAGCACCTACAACCTGGAGACTGAGGAACAGAAGGTCACAACCACCATTATTCTACAGGACTAAACCACTTCTACCACTGTCAGAAAGTCAGCAACAGCAAAATAAACCTAATGTGAGCCAAACATGCAGTGCTGATCTCTAGGCTAGTGTGCCTAATCAGATTCAAATCTCTCAAATCTTCTTGGCTTTCCTCAACAGGTAATTTCATGCAAGCAGGATTAGGTTAGTTGATGTGATACATCCTACAAAGAGGTGTGAGGATTTTCTGTGGCTGACTTGCCAACTCCAGCATCCCAGCTCTGCTGGAGAGAGAAGTCTCTCAGAGTCCACCTGCTGGATCCCTGCAAACTTTGGCGCCTGTTCCCACTGGGTGTTGACATATCACATCAACAGACTGAGCTGAGGGCAATTTCCTTCAACACTTCACACAGAGCTGCCTGGGAAATTCAAGGGATGACTTTAAAGAATATTGATTAGAGGCCTGTGTCAACACTGCAGAGAACTGTGCAGGTAGCAGTGTTACCCTTGGGCGGCCTAGGAGTAGAAAATGCTTTTCCAAAGCACAGATCAGTTTCCCCAGGCCTCTGCCAGCGTTCCCTACCTTGCTACAGCCAAATAAGAAAGAAGATAAAACAGTTTCAATGGTGAGTTTTTGTTAGTGAAGTTCATCTTGACTACAACAAATGAAGAAATGTTTCCCATCAGCAGCTCTGTCAAGAGAGTTCAGGGAGTGGTAAAACTGTGGAGTTGGGCTCTATAAAGGACATATATCTGCATATATACTCACAATTAAGCTGCCTTTCCTTCAATT